CAGCGCCACCAAATGTAGTAGAGTTACCTGGAATAAAGACAACTCCTGCTACGATCCTCAAAAAACTGTCAAAGCTCCGTGCAGGGAAACCACCAGAGCGTGATGACATCCGACCGGCTGTGGTAAAGCAATGCGCAGGTGCCTTGTGCCGACCGCTGTGTAGTCTGTTTCAACACCGCTTAGACGATCATATGCTTCCGCGAGAGTGGAAAAGTGCAAATTCTGCCCGCCATCTCCAAAGGTGGAGACAGGCTGAATTCAAAATGCTACCGACCCATAACCCTTCTACCAGCGGTGTCAAAAGTGATGGAGAGCCTGGTAGACGGCCATGTCAGGGAGTACTTGGAGAAAAGGGAGCGCTTAGTGACGCTCAGCACGGTTTCAAAAGGGGTAGGTCCTGTGCCTCAAACATTCTGGCTGCAGGTGATAAGTGGACGGCATGTCAGGACCTCCAAATTCCTGTCTATGTTATTGTCCTGGATTTTGCTAAGGCCCCTGACACAGTCCCACACACCATTCTCGTTCACAAAATAGCAAGATTGAGCATCTAGGGGCAAGTGCTGTCCTGGACATCTAGACGGTAGACAATTCTGCACAAAGGTCAACAGAGTTTGCTTGACTTGGAGGACATCATCATCTGGCGTATCACAAGAAGCGCTTCTGGGTCCAATGTTATATTCCTTCTTTTTGCGAATGACCTCCAACTGAATCTCAGCCCCTCAGTTCTCCTTTACACCGGTGATGTTAGGTTGTGAAGAGCTATGACGTCGGAAAAAGAATCAAGTGCACTACAAAGTGACCCCAGATTACTGGCAGAGTGGGTGGACATTAACGGACCAGCATTCAGTCTGAATAATTGCCGAGCCGTTTCTCTGCACCCCTGACCCTCGGAAGGTACCCTATTCCCTCTGGAGAAAACAAATTTCCCACACCATCAGGGAGAAAGACCCTGGACCAGCAATGACTGACAAACTAGACACTAGCTCCAATTATCCAGGAGATGCCACCAGAGCCTACGCAGCACTGCACTTCATGCGCAGACAACTGGGTGCCCTTACCCCAGAACTATTTTTGGAGCTGTATAAGACCTATCTACGACCCCGCCTAGAGGTACACAACGTCATTCCACCACCATATCTGAAAAGAGAGAAAATCCATAGGCGAGCTACAAAGGGTGTAGTGGGAATGGGACAAAAACCATATGAGGACAGGCTGATAGATCCAGGAATCTACTTCCTAAGCTGCCGTAGCTTACGTGATGACTTGATAACGGCCTACAAAATACTAGGTAACCCAAGCCGTCCTAACAGTGGAATCCAACCGAACGGCCACTAAGGCCACCCTCGTGGTAACCCAAGGAGAATCGTCCACCAGAGAGCGAAAACCCGTGTGCGATCATACTTCTCTCTGAGAGTTTGCGGCCAATGGAACTCATTGCCTGCCGAGGTTGCTACAACCCCGTCTGTTGACGGCTTCAAGGGGAGGTTAGACAGTTACTCAGCAGCTCACGGTTTGCGCTCATCCAACTGGGATGTGGACTAGGCTGACACAGCCTACTAGCTCGGTACGGCTAACCGTTACTGAATACGTTGTAAAACCACTATCACTGGGAACCTGGCACGGCCTTATCCCTCCCTATAAACGTCCCCTTCAGTTACCGTCTCGTACTAAGAGAATCACTATATTCCCATTCATCCTATCATATCATTTATTATTCTTCCTTCTGACTTCACGTTCACAAACTTTAACAAAAGCTGTCTATATCATTCGTTCCCCATGAACCTATCGGTGTTTCTTCTTCCATGCCGTTTCTTTTTTCCCGATCTTTTTTTCTTTTTTCCTTTTCTTCTTCCGCTTGATTTCTCTGCAAATATTTTTCATCCCCTTTTCACAACCAGTTTGACCAATTGTCTGCTGGCACGGCACCTGATGAACACATTTGCACTACAGTTCTTGGAAGAAAAAACGAGCAAACAAACAATCCCTACAAATTTAACCAACACCCAACCGCCCGTTGGGCTAAGCAGAGCTACGGCAGTTGAGTGGGTAGACCTACTGCATCGGAATCCACCAAAGACCTGGAACGATCCCGCAAAACCTAGAAGCTTGCGTGAAGAAATCAATTGGTTTACAGCAGCTTGTGAAAAGATATTGGATATTGGGTACTGGACAATCACTTGTTCCAAAGCAGAGGAAGTGAAAACGCCTTCACAACTAGTGAAAGAAAATCACCGATTAAGAGGACTCGAACATCAAGGCCTAAGAATAGGAGTTCAAAACCACAAGTTTCCTACAATCGAGATGTTATTTTGGATGTTATCGGAGGTTGGACAATGAAAGTAGCGCGCGCTACAGATGCATACGGTACCCACCTGCTTTTTAGCCTGCAGTATTTTTGTAAGATTTGTTTTATCGTTGGCAATTTTCCTGGTAATCTGTCTTGTGAACATAAATTGTCTCAAATCTTGGCGTGCTATCGACATTAATTAGGGCAATCCAAGGACTTCGTTAATAAGGTCCTTTAAGGCCGCTGATAGATCGACAACCGCTAGTTGATTAGCGGTTCCTTGGCTAAAAAGTGAGAAAATCAGCAGTCACACTGAAGACTTCTCCATAGAACTGAGCTTCATATGTTTCATATGTGTAGTTGTCTACCCACCATCTTGCTGTTCAAACTAAAGTTATCAAACTGAAGTACTCACATTGCTGTCTAAACATTATTTCTCTCTGTTTTGTAATCTCACACTTCAGGATCCTCTGTCTTCTTCAACTTGATCACCTGTGATAAATTTAAATAACGTGGTTATTTTCCATGGTGGTCATATGTTATTGACTGTCTAACTGAGTAGTTTTGTTTCTATATATTACTTTTCCCCTGGTTCACCCATTCATCCCCATTTACATAGATTAAAATGGTTTATGCTTTTAGTAGTGACTAAGGAGGGTCATTTTTGGGTTTGGTGGTATGCTTATCGTTTTTGACATTAAAAAGATTTACTGAATTCAAGGAATAAATATCTGTTCGTTAGCAAATCGACCGAGAGAAGAGGTATTGTTCCATTTTAGTCTGTTGATTAAAGTTGTCATACAGTGAAACTGTATTATTTACTGAAAAAAATTTGGAACATAATCTATTCATCCATTTATTCAAACAGCTTGTTCATTACAACCGTTGACTTACTTTTATCTGATTGTTTGGCAGTTACTTTATTGCTGTCATGCTAAAGATTCTAAATAGTTTCCTTTTCTAGTTTGTGTGGATTAGGTTTCATTTTCTCATGTTGTTTCAGTGTTAGCTCGCCATTTGCTCGTATCTCATCTCTCTCATCTCAAATAATGCTATTTTTATTTTGGTAACAATATCTTCTTACTTCGATTTATTAATCACTACACCGAAGTTAAAATCTCTCCTTAACGCCTTCGCGTCTGTTTGGCTTACGACTCTAGTTGAGAGATTGAAAACCCATTGTGACTTATCGATCGTTGGCGATGTGCTGTTATTAATCGTATTATTGACCACATACTTTTCTTCCATAAGTTTGTTGAACTTCTTAATTTGAGTATTTTTAGATTTCTTGGTAGCAACTAATCTTGCTTCGTTGCAATAAAACTTATGCTCTTTAGCTGTTTATAGCTCACAATTTAATCGGATGGCGAAATTGCAAATTCACGTTTTCACACTTCGTATATTAACAGTAGTGTATGGCGTTAACATTGTAGTTGACTGATTCTTCAAAATGACTTGGGAATGTTAATGGGAATGCTTTGTGACGATTCACCAGTATCTCACTTACTAATACATGGAAATACATATACCAGTAAGTATAGGAGAAAAATCACGTTAGGATTTCTGAATGAATTTTTAAGTAACTACTGAGATATTTAGGAGGTGCGAATGTTGTCGCTAATAATACGTATTACATACGATTGGATCTATTCACTGTGCGTTCACCATAAGGTCCAATTTTGCGAATTCTTTTAAAACGAAGGAATATTTCACTAAGCGGTATCATCAGTCAGTTTGGTGTCTATTACCTCTGTTGATAATTCATTATTGTAAATGAGATTATTGATATAAATGAAGTGTTGATCAAATTCAATGACATCCTCTTTACTCGAACAGAAAAGCGCAAAATAAGCTGTACTGTTTTGGGATCTTATTAACTATACAAAAACAGTACACTTAACGAGAATCTGTTCGATAGAAGCATTTCAGTACGTATGACTTTTCAGTTTCGCACTTATTCAGTACGCATGTGATATTTATCACAGGGGAAATAAAAGACATGTCTACGTAGCCTGTTGCCCTAGGAGCCTAGTAACATTCATAAGTCGTTGGGCAAGATATGGTTCCTAGACTGTTTTATAGAATGGAATCTAGACAAATTGAGTAGAAAACCTGTAACAGCAATTATCTACAACGAACCGGTTAATCAGTTTATAACTTGGTAAACATCTGACCCGAGTCAATGCGATAACTTTATGGAGTTAGCTGTTTCAGCTTTTCAATTGACTTATTGGTGTTGTCCAAATAAATAACTTGGTTAGTCTTGGCACCTTCGTATATACTTGCTAATTCAATTGCCTGTATACATAATTGTATCAGACATACCGCTAGGAAACCTAAACATTCATAAAAGGTGTATATAACCTTTATTCCCACTTTAGTCAGGGGGAATTCTACTTTGCCACACTCATATCCTTATCATACATAAGTTTAGGTCTTGTTTAACTACTTTCTTCTGCTGAAGTTACACAATATTTGATATTTCGGATGTTTTGACTAACTATTACCGTTAGAACATCTGTGTTCATCCTCGTATTGTTTTCCATTTTCATCAACTATGTTAAAAGTATTATCACTCACTATTATTATTATTATTTTGCTTTGGTCAAGATTATGCTTCTTAAATACCATTTTTGTTTTCTGTTTTCAGGTTTTTATTGGGGGAAAATTCTACTCTAGCATCTGAATTTCTATCTCTTTAGGACGCCAAAGAATGCCGAAAATAAAGAAGCGATCTATTGATAGTTCAAACGTTCGTATAATGTTTTACCATTTGAATTCAGTTTTTTTGCAGGTTCTTAGTTCTCGTGATGTCTCGAAAATTCGTAAACTTATGCGGGAAAATGTAGATGAAGAAAAGTAACCAAAGCGAGTTTCGGTTCTAATTTTTTTTTTTCCAGATCTATTGTTTCAAAATCACTGAGTACCACTGTAGATACAGAGTCCAGTTCTGAAGAATCTGAAGTTGAAGAGGAATTTCAGCTAGATTTTCCTGATTTCGATGTATGTTTTAGGTCACTACCTATATTCATTCATGTTTGCCGTAGGATGGTGGTGACGCTCTAGAAGATGATGAGGACTGGAACAAATTTTTTAAAGCAAATGCTGAAAATAAGGAACTGGTGACAGAACTTCAGAAAAATCTGACAGAGTCCAAAAATAAGGTGAGCTGAATTCGACTAATCTTTTAACCTTTATTTTCTTCAATTCATCAAGGTATGTTTTTTCCCGATAGAATCGAACAATGATATTTCTGATGGTTCCTTTTTCTAAGTTAATTTATAAATGTAAACTATTCATTCTTGTATTCAGTTAATATTCGTTTATGTTATTTTTCTCTACTGAGGAGTTGAACTGTGAAATTGGTTTTTAATCTTTCTTCCTTCCTTAACTACTACTTGGCTATGGTGGCTAAATGATTTTGACCTCATGCCATTGCGTCCACTAGGCAGTAAGTAACACCTGTTGCATGAGAGCTTGGAATACTACTTGGTAGCCGAAATCTCAGCAGATGGGATAGGATCTGAAATTGTGATTTTCCTTGAAAGTTGGATGCTCAGGCTAATAAGCTATCGTCCTAACAAGCATACTGAATCTTACCACGATTTATTGTGTATTCATATCATAGTAAACAAACCAATCAGTACTTTGTTTTCTTAAGTGAGCTGTATATTTTTGCTATAATAGATAGAAGAGTATCTTCATTGGGTACATTGTTCTAGAAATCGGTTATTATTCATCAAGACTGAACAGCTTTGCCATCGTAGATGTAAAATGGTTTATATGCCATCTTATGCGAATAGATAGCACAGTTAATGAGTATAGTGTCAGGTTCAAATCCGGCTTTACCTACTTCAACCTGGGGAGTGATGAAACAAGTGTGGCTGAAGCCTAGTAGGCGAATCTACACCTGGTAAATGAGTTACATTATTCATTATTTCTCTTTCGTCATACTTAATGGCAGTATATCCTTAATTGCTGTTTGTATGTCTCAGTAATCTGTGACCAAATGGCATTTTATCACAATCAGTCAGTCACTATCGCCACGGTGCTTGTTACTGCGTGACGGTCCAGATTTCCACACATCATATCAGTATTTCATACTTCTAACCAACTTCAAGTGTGTTTAAAGTAGATAATCACTGCAATATCATAGTGACTGGTTGTCCACTGAACTAAAATTTGACTCTATAATTTTGTGTTAGAAAGTTTTCTACTAAGATGTAACATGTACATTGAGTGCACAAAGCTATTTTTCATCACTGTTTCACATCAGAAGTGCGTGCGATAAAAATTTCATGGTGGTATTCATCAAGGAATGACATCAGTTGAAGAACCACTGAAAGACCAGGAACACTGGACAGCTGTTTCGTCTTAGCAGGCGACTCCTTAGAAGTGGGCAAGGACGACCATACGAAAGATCAAACTCAGGGAATCAGGCCTCACGTTGACCATGTAAATCACCTACTGATTTGGAATCCGTTAGTCCATATTGTCCTATTTCTGTCATTTCGTGATGTAGCGCGATTTGTGATTGGTGTTCAAAGTCGTGAACCATCGATGGAAAGTCAGCTGCCTAACCGATTAGTCACAGTTCCATAGAGGAAATCTGCATTCCCGTACACGGTTCACATCGGTGATAGGTGACTTCATGAGTTGTTCATATGTTTGAAATCGCCTACCATTAGCTTTTTAATGACCTAACCATACTTCAGGTAACTTGGCGCTCTAGGGGGTAGATAGTTACTTGGCATGTGTTACACATGCTTACAACATTATTAACCGATCTTGGGCTTAAGACTCTATATTTAAACTTTCTTCCCCCTCTGTTTTGGTTATGGAGAATGCAGCTAATCTTTCGAAGACGTTAGTTGGGCATATGAAACCGTCTCGTGTCCTTCACCTTTAATAGCTACTGTTTCACAACCATATAGTGTGACAAAACAGACTGCTACACAGTACTTCCAGTCTTTGATAACTAATAATACTTTTTAAACGGCTAACGCTATACATTAAATTAGTGGTCAGATGTAACTACTGTTGTGAGTTTCCAGCATAATAAATAGATAATGTTAATCATTAAAGTTTTTTATTTATTATTCTAGATTTCTGAAGATATGTCTCAGTATACTGATAGCGTTATTGGTGATTTAGATGCAGTGAAAGGATTTGAAGACTTGAGTGAACTGCCTGAAGAATTGAGAGATCACCTGAATTTGTTGATTGATGTACTTAGGCATTATCGAAGTGGGCCTCTGCCTAAAACAGTGAAAATGTTACCACATTTAGTTGGATGGGAGACTTTGTTGGAAATGTTGAAGCCACTAGAATGGTCTGTTCATACATATCCTCGTATTGTCAAAGTATTCGCATCCAAAGGTCATGAACCAGCACATCAGTAAGATAATGTTGATCCACTAAATCTTTTTTCTTTTAGTTTTATGTTGCTATGCATATTATCTATTTTATGAAGAATTGTTCATAGGTGGGTCATTCGAGAAAATTGTTCATCATTTCTATACATTTAGATATGCATGTAGGTTCGTTTGGTATTAGTTCATGCGCTAACAAAGCAGTATAAAAAAAGGAGTTATGTACTCAGATTTAGTCGAAGCAAACGCACAGTTGTACAACAGAAAGATGAATGCTCGGGAATGGATGAAATAAATTTAGATACTTCACAAGACGGCTAGGTAATTATGTAAAAAGATGTGTATACCATAATGACAAGCGATATACCGTCGATAAAAATTATAAAACGATTTCGAAGTTGTAATAAATCATAATTTGAAACTGAAAAGGGTCAAAACAACGCGAAATGCAGATTTAAAGGGGTGTGACAAACAAATCAACTTAAAACTTCTCACAGAGAAGCGTCAGTTCAAGATGCCACGCCACACAGCAATATGCAAAGAGAAAAAGTTGTTAGAAAAAGAGTGATACTAAAGTAGACACATGGCACGTCAAGGTGGATACATTCCACCACTTCACTCTCTACCATTAAACTGCGAGTAGTTGCCGACCAGTACTTGAGTATCATCTTACACTTAGTAAGTGTGAAGCGCATGCTAACCATACTCAGATATCTGCATGACGGGTCCAGAGGACCCTGCATTCTTGTCAGCGTCTTCACTTAGCAGGAAAATATTGTCTACGTGCTCAAAGCCAACCAGGTGCCCTCCAGGGAGTAGGTCAATCCCTATGAATTCAAATGTACCTAAGGTTATGTCCATTAGTACATCTGTAACGTAGTTAAGTAGGAACCATGACAGTGGGCATTCTACTCGGTCCTGTTGACAACTCTCCAGAAGCCCTGATATGGCTGCAAGAGTTCGAGTAGAGAGCTTTGATTAGCATTATGTAGTTTCTCGATACTCGCTTCATAGTCAGACACTGCCAGAACACTTCATGATCGATCGAACCAAATATCGCCTTCAGGTCAAGAAATATGACTAGTGTCAGCCATCGGTAGGTATCCTTGTGCTCCAGAGCCTGCCGGAGGGTAAATATGTGGTCGGTCCACCCTCGTTCACTTCTGCTGCTTTGCATCGTTTCAGGTTCGAGACAGCCTTTTAGGCTTCGGGAAGAGTTTGCGGACCGACGCCTACCTTCCATTCAGGTTCAGGCCGGATTTTGGGCAATTGAAACGTTGCTATAGGCCAGCTGAACTGTGCTCCAAAGTGTTCTGCTCAACTTTCTGGCTGGCAGTCCTAGGAGGTTATCAGCATTCCATCCTTTTCGGTAATGCTTTCACTCATCATCGTCTTCTTGTTGCTGGTATCCCTAGTAAGCCTTAATAGTTACTGAATTTTACCTAATATTGATGCTTTTACCATCTCTCTCGTCGTAGTCACCTACCAATGCTCGAGATCGTTGCGAAGATTCTTGTCTAATTTACACTTAAGTTTCTTTCGCTCTTCATTGTGTTCAGAGCTAGTTGGAATCAGCCTCGTCACATCAATCAGTTCAGATGACGTTATGGAAACCCGCTTACTTTCGTTAACCTTCGGGTGTAGGTTACCATCCGTTTTTACCACTTTTTCTACGGTAGACCTAATATCATACCAGGTTTTCTCAGGATGAGCCCTGCTGTTATGTCAAGATAAATGTTTGTCTGGCTTCTCTCTTAATGCATACTTGACGTCCTCATCTTCCGAATGATCATATACAGGCTTTACTGTCGCTTGTTTCCTGCAATTAATATGACAGACATGTGTTTTAGACTGAAGGCTATACCTATTTTGCTAGGGTCAATTATACTATGTGGGTGGAGAAGCAGCGTTCGAACTCATAGTCTCTTTTTGAAAACCGAGCACTAATGAACCGAATTTTAGGAGGCGAGCAAGTGTATTTGAATAAACTAAGAATATATGCTTCATCATTGATGTTTTACGGTTGCTTTGTCAAGATGTGCTGTTCTAAACTCTTCAATTTCCTGTTTTATGACTGCTCTTTTTCGTCACCAGTATAAGCTGGAAACAAACAGGTAAGCAGATGAAATGACATGAAAACTTCGTTTTGTAAAACTGGTCTTCAGCGAAGTTATCACAGTCCATTGTTTGTAAATCATTTTTAAAAGTTTTTTATGCGTGCTAATAGTGTACGATAGACTTTTTGTTTTTCAACCATCTGTAATTTGTATCTTAACAATTGACACTCTCAGCAGGAAATCTTTGATATGTTAAAGTCACAATGTTAGTGAATGTATCTTCATAGTGTTTGCTTGTTATTATGAAGAAATTGTTTATTTGTAAGACGATAGTACTGTAGTATGAAGAAAAGAATTAGTATTTCTTACATTGTTTTACTTAATAGTTGTTCTCAGCCCTGATGGCTCAGTGGTCGATGAAATCTCTGCATGGATACAAAAGGTTCGGTTGGCTTTTGCCAACTTACGCCGCCATGATATCGGATTGTCTACTAAGGGTCGCGTATACTGCACAGCAGTCCGGTCTGCTCTGCTGTATGGCTGTGAAACATGGCTATTGAAGGTGGAAGACATGAGAAGACTTCAGGTGTTTGACCACCGTTGCCTTCGTAGTATAGGCCGTATTCCGTGGTGTCACCACGTGAGTAACACTGAAGACATGCGTAGAGTTTTGGGGAGTACAGGTAAGTTAGTTGACGAGGTTATGAACCTTCATTGACTGAGATGGTTGGCTCCGATATGTGTTACGTATGCCTAGTCACCGATTGCCTCGTCACACAATGTTGGTCGAAGTAGGCCCAGGCTGAAAAAAGGCCCGAGGTGGCCAGACTAAAACATGTCACCAATGTATGAGGTGTTTGACTGTTGGTTCGAGCCATGTGGGGCGATGCAGACTAAGTGGTTAGGGTCGGCGGGATAAGAGTAACCAGTGGTTGGAGACTGACTCTAGGTGATCACATGGCTGAGAACCGATATCAGTGGCTCAGATGTATCCCCACACACATTATCCTCATCTTAACGACGTTATACTGAATCTCACTATTCTCTCATTCTTCCTTTCTCTCTTTTAGTACTCTTTATTTCTTTTGACTGACGTTTCTTATCTTCATCTTGCACCTCACTGCCTTTTTACTTGATGTACTGATATGAGGTGTGACAACTCGGAGGGTTACGCAGTAATGCCTGGTCCTAGGTTGATCTGGAGTCATAGTTGTTCAGGACAAGAAATTGATGTTCCGTTTTACAACAACCCTTGTTAACTGAAGTAAGAATACAGCTAAGAATGGATAAACTAAAATCTCTTACTGTTTGTTTGAACCGTTTAAGAAAGTGTAGATGGATTTCCTGGTTAAGATCTGCAAGATAATTGGAATCCACGATTTTGCAACTCTAGCTGATATGGCTCAAAATCTATTATAGTAGCTCAGATGTATCTACACCTTATCTCCATTTTAGTCGTAATCACTTTCATCTTATAAGTTTCATTACATTTTATTTTTATTTCTTCAGCTTTCTACCTGTTATCTTCTACCTTATGTGGTGGTGTTGGGGTCTGACTGCTTGGAACCTTATGCGATAATACCAGGTCTAACGTTGGTAACGCTTGTATATCTACATACAGTCAATATCAGCGCCGTTCTTCGAATAACCTGTGTCTATATACTTTTAGCTAATCTCTCGCATGAACCAGCTTTTTCAAAGCAAACTTATGCTATGTATTACTTGTAACTAACATTTCCCTGTATATACTATGTTATATCCATGATTTATAATTTTTGCCTTTCTTTCCCATTATCTCTCTTTCAGCTTTTATGAACTTTACCTATTACCTAAAGTGAAACAAGATATTGAAGAGAATAGACGTTTATGTTTTCACTTATTCGAAGCATTAATTAGATCCATGTTTCGACCGGAAGAATTCATCTCTGGTGTTTATTTACCTTGGGTTCAGGTAAATTTTTATACTTGTGATATATCACCTCATTTTCATCTTGTAGTTGTAATTGTAATTTCTTGTGATATCAGAAAGTATTTGCTTCTAATCACTGTTACCATAGTATATTTCACATTTCCTACCGGATATAAGTTTCCTCAATGATTACATACATTTCTTGCTGATATAAATTTCAGCATAGACAAAACTTGAATCAAGTAGGGTTTCTTGTTGACTGACTCCTAATGTCTAACACAGTTCACTATGTGAAAATATGAAAAAGCATGGGGTGATGATAAAAGGTGAAATGAAAAACTGGGCTACAGCATCATTTTCACCCGCTGCCACCAGAATACCAGTCTAGCACTTAAGTGCTGCTGTACAATACTTTGTCGACTTGTCATATAACTTTAAGCAGGCTTCACTTTTTAATGAAATTAGTTCTTGTAAATTAACTTGACGTTGAACTTTCCATCCAGAGAACACCGAGCACTCCTAAGTGACAAAATGTGTCTGGATGTGGATCCAGGAGTGTTCTCGGCGACCTCCATCAAAGAACAGTAATAAGCCTATTTTACTCTACAGTTATACAGTACTATTTTTGGTCTGATAGTTCAGGTTTTAGGGATAATCAGTCAATATTATTAAAAAACATCCTCTTTTGGAAAATAATGTGAAATTCAATGTGTTTCATCAGAAATCAATGACAAAAATATTAGAAGTTGCAAGTAAGTAAGCAGCTACTTCAAAGCATACTAGGACTCGTTATTGATACAAACTCATATTCCCTTTTGACTTCACTCTGCGTATTCAAGCTCTTTAGTCAATAAGTCCACCGTAGAACATGATTCACGACCATGTAGACCCATTTATATATCGTGCACGCTACTTCTTCTCTAGTCACGGGTTCGAACCCTTCCCCACTTACTGAGGTTTAGGTAAACTGGTAGTATTCTTAGTTCTCACACAATAGGTGTAGCTCATTGTCTAGTGTGTGAATATCCACGTGATTGCTGAGTGCATTTCGATTTCGACTTTGGGAATGCCCAGTCGATACTTGAAAGCAAAAAATATAATTGCGCTCTGGGAATTCTTGCATCACGTCGGTGATATATAAGTGTTAAGAACTGGAGTATATAGAAACACCGTGATTCGTCAATCTCAAACATTAATATGCTTTTAAAATCATCTCAAGGTGCACGCAACAATCATGATGTTATTTAAGTAGGCGATAAGCCATACATATTGTACAAGACCTATTGATTCTACCTAGCTGCTTAAACCTCGGTAAGCGAAGCGCTGTTCAAACCGGTAACCTATTGTTTGGAAGTCGAGTAACTGAACCTCTCCACATTTAGATCCCCCGTTGAACACCCTAGTTTTTCACACATGCACAGTTCCTTTGAAAGTTGAATTATGAATTTGTTTAGTAGACTTACTTTGAAGCTGTATCCAAACAAAATATTAAGCCGCATCATCCTGAAGAGGCTTAAAAGTGCTCTGGATTCAAAATTACGATCGAAACAGGCTGGCTGTCTGGCTTCAGGAAAAACAAATCATGTGTGGATTAAATTGTAAGGCTACGCTACTCATCATCATAGAACAGGGCGTAGGAATGGCAGTCAACTCTCTACCTTACCTCAACTTCATCGATTTTGAAAAGGCGTTGTACAGCGTCGACTGAGAAGTAATTTGGAAACTGCTTGAACATTACATATGAGGATGCTACATGGCGAGTGATTGACAATGGAAAACTGAGTGAAGACAGGTAGGAGTGAGACGAGATTGCCACCTACTATCACCGATGATGTTCCTGATTGTGGTCGACTGGAATGGAATGGATGATGCAGCGAACTGTGAGGAGCTGTTTGATGGATGAAAAGATAAAGACCCTAGAAGATTTGAATTTGGCCAACGATGATTATTATTTACGTCTAATGTCGCACAAACTTGAAGATCTACAAGTGAAAACTAAGAAGTTGGCATAAGAGGCGAGGCGAGACGGTGACGACGGGACTTCCTTCAGTTGAACGTAGAGAAGACAGAGGTGATGAAGATACCCAACCACCACGAACAACAGCATCAACGACAAGCGGCAATCACCATGAATGTGAGAATTGTTGAAGAAGTTGTCTCATTCACCTACCTACCTAGGCGACATAGTTTCAAGGTATAAGGGACGTTGGCGGCACAGATGAGGACATGAAAGCCAAAATCGGTGAGACAGCAAGACAGACTTTCATTCGTTGACTTGAAATGAGCGTGACGATCTACTGCACTGCAATCAGCATATGGAAGAAGATCGGAATTTTGAACAGTAATGTGAAGTAAGTCATTGCTTGTATGTGATGGTTGAGAGACTTTGCGGCGCGTTACGGAAAGGATTTCGAACAACCTGAAGACATAAATGAACAGTTGCCGCCTACACTCACTTGATACTGAAGATGGAGATTAGATGGCGAGAATAATAAGAATAAGGAACTCTGATTGGCTGGCTGTCAACGAAGCAAGAACCTTATGACCCAACAAATATGCAGCAGAAGAAAAATGAGATGGATTGGGTAGGATATAGGCTGAGAAGAGGGTTTAAGGACATCACGCTGCAGGGATGGTCTTCGAGTGGAACTCAAAGTGGAAAGGATGAGTTGAGCCTCTGTGGTAAAGGTGACATGGAGTAGATGGTGTATGTAAGAAATAGAAAGATTTATGGGGGTAGTCGTGGAGTGAAGTTGACAAGACTGGAAAGAAAAGAGTGAAATCGAGACATGCTACTGAACTCCTATGTTCCACTTGGAATCTAAAGGAGAAGTAATAATCAACAACAAAAAAAATAAAGTTGTTTTATGTAGCTGAAATACAATTTCCACCATGCCTACAGTTCTCTGGATTACTCAAACCATATACTTGAGATTGCATGAATCAGTGTTATACATCTTTTGTTATATATATATATATATATGATGTAACTATTGAAATGATTCATCTCTGTAGTGTATGTATGGCATTTCACTATTGATGTGAGACATTCACATAACCACAGTATACTCTACTTTGTTGATACTCTTCACAATTGATTAAGACGTCGAAATACAATGGAAAGGATATATGATAGTATATGATAAGTTTGTAATGTTTTTTTTTCTTTCATAATTTAAAAATGAACAAACCTCAGTCAGATATTTCTTAAATTTGTTTCAAGTTATCTCTATTAGTCGAATTGATCATCCACTCGTAATAATGATAGTCAAATCATAATGAAGTTATAATATATCAGTATAAATTCTTCATAGTTAAATAGTCATTTTTCTATTTCTCCTCATTATTACCATCATTTGCTTATCCTTTATGTTTTCTATCTTACAGTCAGAAATGTCAAAAACTGAAGGTTTAATATTATCTAATCTAATTAAACGAGCAACACTTAAATCACGATTTGCAGCAGTTGCATTAGCTTTAACACTAGAAGAAGAATTCAGTATACCTCGATCAATGGTTATTGAAACATTCTTAACTAAAAAATATCATTTACCAGAAGCTGCTGTCCTTAAAGTTATTGATTATTTTATCAGGTATGTTTCTTTGTTGTTTACTTGTTTTCTGTTCTGTATCTGTCTGTCTTCATTGGTTTTTATTTACACGACGTGGATTACGAGTTTAAAGCCGACTTCATCTAATTTTGGTTTATACTATTAGTTATTGTTATAGTCCACATAGTTCGTATTGCACAGCAATCTTGTGTGCACATTTTCTGAGTTAGCAGTGGGTTTTGTGTTGAAGGTTAATCATGTTAATTGGCTGCCCAAACCACTGTAGGTGGAGCAGTGCTCGAACCCGTGACCCTCTGATTGAAAGTCAACTTCCTTAGCCGATGAGTTACAGATCCACAAATGATACGATAGTTGACTTACATAGTGACTTTAAATATAAATTACATATTAGTTCTAATTCATCATCGATTTGTATGTTCATCTTTCAAAAACTTGTTTTCATGTCATTCAATGTTTCAATTATAGTCGTTACCTCTGACCTAGTTCAATGGCGTCTAGTGTTCTGTAGGATTAGACTATGAATATCAACAAGTCATTTGAAGATAAGATAACGAATGTAATGCTCTGATTGACAGTTCTAAGCAATTCATAACAAATGAATATGTTAACATCCTATTTCATTTGGATATCTATATCAATACTTTGCAAAAGTTTTGTGATTACATCGTACAATTTATGTCCGCTATAGATTTCAAGTATGAAGTCAAAAACTGAAGATTTATGTAAAATGCAATACCATAGCATAAAGTTACAAACAAGAATTATAAAAGTGAAAACTTTGAGTCATGAGGTATTTAGGTATTTACTACACTGTCATCAACAAATGTGATCAAGATTGTACACAAACAATGAAATGAATGCACTTGTGTCAGGTTGTTAACTGTAGCTATATAGAAGTAGCTGCCTACTATCCCCCGTGATATTCCTGATTGTGGTGGACTGGATCATGCAGCAAACAGTAGGCAGCGAGAAGAGGGGGATACACTGGACTACGGAAAAGAACCTAGAGGACTTGGATTTCGCCGATGACTTGTGCCTGATGTCACATAAACTTGAAGATCTGCAGGCAAAAACTAACAAGTTGACAGAAGAGGCAGAGAAGACGGGACTTCAGGTGAATATAGAGAAGACAGAGGTGATGAAGATACCGCACCACCACCACCAACAACAAACTCCAATCACCGTCAACGGTAGAAACTTGAGGGAAGTAACCTCCTTCACTTATCTAGGAAGCACTGTTTCAACTACAGGTGGCACAGACACAGACGCAGACGAGGATGTCAAAGTCAGAATCGAAAAGCAAGACAGGTGTTCATTAACCTGAAACCAATGTGGAGATCTTCTGCACTCAGCATGCGGAACAAGATACGGATTTTCAACACCAACGTCAAGTCAGTGCTCTTGTATGGCTCAGAGACTTGGCGCGTCACGAAAGGGATTTCCAATAAATTACAGACATTCATCAACAACTGCTTACTCTGGCTCGTTACTGAAGATCAGATGGCCAGAAAGAATAAGCAACAAGGAGCTCTGGGAACGAACCAACGAAGCAAGAACCTATCACGCAACAAATATGCAGGAGGAAGTGGAGATGGATTGGCCATGCACTGAGAAGGCCGACTGAGGACATCACGCGTCAGGCCCTCGAGTGGAATCCCCATGGGAAGCGAGGAGTTGGACGTCGGTGTCGAGGGTGACATGGAGGAGGTCGTGCGAGGAGGAAATGAGAGCTTGTGGGCTGTCGTGGAACCAGGTTGAAAAGATCTCAGAAAACAGAGGTCACTGGAGACGTGCTACTGAAGCCCTATGTTCCACTAGGAACCCAAGGGATATAATAATAATAATAATAATAATAATAATAATAATAATAATATAGAAGTAGCGCCAACACATGAAATCTGGCACAGGTTATAGGATGAATAAGAAAGGGTTCAGGAAAAAGTACTTTATATGTAAAGCAAATAAAAAAAAAACTAATGATTCAATGAGGGAAAAGGCGAGGAGGTAGCACTGAAACGATAATCAGCTGGACCAAGATATTGTTGTAGTTGATCCTTAGCACCTGACAAAGCTCGAAAATGTTTCAAACCTTGAATCATACTACTTCATAATAGCAAGTAGTACAAATTTGTATCTTAAACCGAGGACTGGTAGGGGGATAAGTGCAACAAATAACACAAATAGGGGATTAAAATTAAGAATGATGAGGACAAACAGGAAGTGACTTAGTTGGTCCTAATCTTGGTAAGAAAACAAAGTTCACCAAGGTAGATGTAGTGTAATAACAAACTGTTTTTGTACACATTGTGTTAATTGTTGTATTTATGCCCCCCTCCCAGTCCTCGGTTTAATATATATATATAGACTTGACAAGTAAATGTGTGATCAGATTGTTCGAAATGTATTGCGCAAATACATCACATTGCTCAGATAAATTTGTATTGTTAAAAAGAACAGAGATGGAAGTTAAGCCAGAAAATAACCAAAAATTAGTTTAAGGCATAGATTTCTCACACTTTATCTCAGCAGAAAGGAGAGTATAATGAATTTGCCCCCAATCTTTCATCACTAATCAAATCACAAGTAGTTTGCGATATATTTAATTGCCAAAATATTTCTTTAGAGTTAACACCGGTACTCGGACAGTCGCTCTGATTGCCAGGGCGTTACCGACTACACCACCAAGCGACGATAGCCACTTCTTGTGCGACGGGGTATACGTTTAGTGTTATTGCTAGCCACTGACCATCATTACTATACATAGTTAAAAGACAGACAATATCGAGGCATCCGCATACGAGCCCATATGCCAACAGAGACTGATCGATTCTGTCCAATCAACGACGGTGTAATACAAGCAATAACACTAAATTTAACTATTATTCAGACAAAACCATCTCAACATAATTGGACACCTTGAATTGTTTCTACAAACATGTTACTAGGTGAAAGATCAAAATAATGTTATCGTTATAATTTAAAAATATGTAATTCAAAACTGCTAATAATTGTGTCTTCGCATTTGACTAACAGTTATGCGAACAATTATGATCTTTATCGATTCTCAATGCACAGACTCACTGGTAACTTGCTTTAACCTATCAACCTCGAAAAGATAGAGTACAATACACGTTATAACTATCCTTGTTAAATGATAAACAGTTTAATTCATCCCCATATATGTATGAGTGATAATCGTGCAACGGAGAATAATTTAAAAACTTGAAATACATAATTTTGTCTTGAGGAAAGGAAATGAAGTACTTATGATAAATATACATTTTTTTTTCTGAACAACAAATGATACCAGTTAGTTGTTTGAAAAGAATCGACACTAACTCCTGGATCTAGGTTTCTTGGTTGTTGTGATTCTTCTGATAGATTCAAATCCATGATACACGGTACTGCTTCGGGAGACCTTACCACGAAATCACTCAAACTATTACTGGTGGTTTCCTTCAAACAATTGTCATCAGTCAAAGGGCAAATTGAAAGATATCTTCTAGACTATTGACATTTAGGGCTAGCACAAATCAGTTTGACTGTTTCGCTAATCATCATGTGAGTTTCTGAAAGGATGAATTGACAGCGGATAAAATTCGTCTCATGGGAACATCAGATTTGCATATCTTCGGTTAGCTATGTAAATAGGGAAGTCCAGATGCTCGAGGCTTCACTTCACTGTAGATACTATTGTCAATTAATTTCTTCATAATCTTGTTTAATTCTTTTGTAATTCATCCTTCTGTTAACTGAATCATGTCATTGTTTGGATGATTAGTATGGAATATAGACGATTTTATTCCAGAGCTGAACTAACTTGGTCTGTTTAATAGTCGTTTTCCGTTATAACCACACGAAAACTTTTGTCTGACTGGAGAATGACGACAGTGTAACAATTGATTACATTTCTCAAGAGCATTAGGTAGTTTTTAGACAAAACTGCTAACCACAGATATGGTAATGTAATGTACTAACTTATCATCCTTCATTTGTTTATTGCGTTCAATTTAACATGGCATTTGTTAGTGGACTGACGTTTTACTTTGGAAGAATGTATTACAGTGAATGTTACTTTCATTCTACTTAGTATCATTCTCTTGTATCACAATATTGTTTATAATCTTGATAAAAATGCCAAGTAATGTGTCAGGTGTGCCTTTTTAGACTAGTTCGGCATTCAATTGTGTCCCAAGACCTCTTTTACTGGACAAGCTACACGGGACTAATACTGATTCCTGGATAATAGGCTGGCTGCATTCCTATTTTTATGAAAGGGGAGCGCTCCACCTCATTGCTTACAGTGACTGACGTTCCCCAAAGAGCCGTTCTTTCCCCCTGTCATTTCTCAATCTTTCTACCTGATTTACCATCTTCAGCTGGTATGATGACCTAACAGTTTCTATACCTGACTTGTCTCCTCTTCAACAGATTGTTCCAAACTGGATGATTTCCTACCTACTGTTGGACGATGGTACTTCATGAACAGTCATATGCTTAATTGTTCCCGGGTTACTGAATAAAAACTATGCTATATTGCATAGAACTACCGGTGTACCTCTAAACCTTCTAGTTAAAACAGTTATGGACAAACATTTTAACCCATGTAAATAACTGGTAGAAGTTATTTTATTGGATGACCAGCATCCTCTTCACTTAAAGCTCTCTGCGTGTCGGTCACTAGGAAAGACAAGGAGCAAGTACATAAGACTTTATGCATGTACTACGAAATATAAAAACTCTACGATATCGTATTTAGCTCGTCTCCTATGCGATGAAAGTATTAGAAATGAGCTAACTAACTAACTAATCAACTTGTGTTTTTCAAAGCAAACTAATTGATGATGAACATGTTACTATTTACATATTATGCCCTTAATTGTTAATGTGATTGTCTACTTAAATTAACTGTACATTTTTAAGAAAGTTGTAGATAGAGTGAATATTCTTATCTTTTGTTTATGTGATTTCTACTCATTTCATTGTAACATGTATACGTGTACACTATCTCTGTCCTATTGTCATGGGACAGTGGTATTATGTTTTTGTTTGAGCTTTAAGTTCAAGGTTTATTGGACAATTAGGAGATTTTAGAACAAAATACATGTTCACTTTTAGACACTGTCCAACTTTTCTATAGAACAGATTGTAAAATATGTTAGTTGGTTGAAAGCAATCAGCAGGTTTTACGATTGTTGACACTTGTTAGCAAAGTATATCTGCAACCTTGAAGGAACTGATTTCCCCCCAGTATTATAGTCAACGACTTTATCACTGAGTTATTTGGGTTGCCCTATTGGTGACTGCTAAGAAGAAGCATGTAATCTAGATCATAGGCTTCTTGTTGATTGGTTCCAACCAACTAACATTCATCAAAGTGCACTGTAATGATGGGCCTTCATTGGCTTCATGGCTTCATTGCGAAAATGATCGATAGAATTCGGTCAACACACTGGACTAGAAAATGCTACCAGTAGTTAATCAATGTAGATTTTAAAGTTATTTGTTTGTTAGTTGTCTTTCCAAATGTATTTCATTTATATATATTTTCAATTGTTTTTCAGTTTCGATAAAGATTGTACTGCATACTTTACAGATGAGAAACGTATGCCACTTACCTGGTTCAAGAGTCTTTTAGTATTTTTAGAGTTCTATCGTCACTGTATTGGATCAGATGAACGTGAAAAGTTATTGAAATTGTGTCGACGTCATGAACATCCACAAATAACTCAAGAAATTCGAAGTTTCTTGGGAACTATTCCAAATAAATGATAAATATAATCTTCAATATATGATTAATTTGTAAATATATTTATTTACTCGAATTATACTGTCAGTTTTAATTGTACTAGTAGGTTGATTGGTAATGTCTGTTTATGAATACAGTATATGTAATATTCACTGCTAGTCTACGCCTACTGCGTCATTGATCTTATTCATATCGTAGATTATTTAATATTCATGTATGGAATATCAAGTCCTAGATAACTGACATACTTCAATACTATATTGTTAAAACATTGATTAGTTTGGAGGGTAATACAATCCACTTTTTTGTTCATTATCTCTGTTTATATCATCATCTCTAAAGTCAATATAAATAAAAACTTGCTTCATTTCTATATTCAAGTTGAAGGTGTTCACTTCGACTATGTTTATTGATAAATGTATGTCTTTGTTCAGTTTTAAGAATTTCAGTGGACGCGATATATGGAGTAAGTAACTGTTATTATCTTCCGCTTTGGCGAAAGCTTTATCCCTACTCACGCTTTAGCATACATTAAGTTCATCACGCGTTTTGATAATTATCCAAGTCGTCTACTTGAACAGGCTGACCTAAGCAAATGGGTTGAACTGTCGAATACAGGATTATATATGAGGTCTTGACAAAAAGCCGCATTAACAAACACCGTAGAACCTAGTAGCTGCAATTTGAAGTCTAGACGGAAACAAAACTTTAGAGATTAGTGGGGTATATTTCATCATTCTAAAATGAAGTCGTCTTTGCTCTTATCTGTGATAAGAGCCTACCTAATGCATATGATAATCGTCAGGTCACTGATCTTCAATTAGTCGCTTTGAAAATACCCACTACTTTCATACTTCACAGGTTTTACAGAATATAGGAGAAGGTGACACGTGAACACAGCATCCTGGATTTCGTTCAAACTATGAATACTTCGCTGTTTTTTAAAAAGTAATTTTCGCTTCTGGATATCTGTAGGAGTGTTCATGAAGATATGACTGATACGATTTCCAATTATATATTGAAAACCAGATCACCTCAATGTTTATCAAAGTCGTGATGTTTGACGTTGTCATGATATCAAACTAGTTATAAAATATCATGGGACTTAGCTTCTTCAAATCGAAAATGTACGACTATCTTGTGTGTTTGATAAATACTATCTCTGAAGAAAGGTCTATTTAAATAACTGCGAGGTTTCAATGTATTGATTTAGACCTGATAGTAATTCTAAATCTGTGGTTGAATTTATCTGGAAACTTGGGCTTCAATGGATTGAAGTTGCATTCTAGAGGTGTTATACTATTCACTGTCTACTCTGCATAAAATTGGTTGAAAGGAGTAGGGATTCCATCAGGGCATGAAATAGTGCTGACAGATTTACAATACGCATGTTGAATAGGCATCTGTTGTCATCTGAAGATTCTTAGATTGATATTCAAGGGACTATGTAACTCAATAGCTCAAGATGATATTCTGTACCATTTAGGATCAAAATCAATAGGGATTACTTCACACTTATACTAGGTCTTTTATCTTTGAAAGGTAGTACAGTTACACTGAAGACTCTTTTTGTATTTCTCTTATTAAACTGATTGTATGACGAATTTCCTTTTCTCCTCCTTCCTCTTTCTTTTCGAATTAACAGCGTGGTTAATTAAGTTGTATGACGATTCGATTGGTGTCAATATTTTGCCGAGTTTTAATAAATTATACTTCTGTAAAACTCACGAGTGTGAAACAACGAACAAACAAGTAGATTGTTCACGATAAGAAATTATATATATATATATATATATATATATATATATATATGAGCAGTCTGCATGGTGGATACAATACCAAAACGAGCAAATTCTCAATGATTCCTGTCAGACATTTCTAACTTTGCATGATGAATTATAAGAGCTTTGGAGATGACTTGAATGAGTTTAAAACTTCACCGAAAATAGCTTTGTGGTAATATGACTGTGAAAGACTAGCTTATTTATGTATGGACAGATATGAAAAGACGTTTTGGATGTCTTTTGCATTTCAGCAGTCGAAATGTTTACCTGAACCAACTGATTTCAATGAATACTAACACAGAACATTATAGACTTAACTGAAAGCGCCATAATCCAGTCTCATCACTGTTCATACTTTTTTGGCTGGATGTATAGTTTATATCCCCACCCCGCAAATGTGGCTGTTTCCTTTCTGCCAACTCTTGGAATCCTGCACACGTGCTTCAAATAATATCGTGAGTAGTTCGTCTTACTCTTAATTGGGATTTCTTTACACTCGGAAATCCGCGGTTGGAATATTCCACTTATAAGAACCAGGCTTTAGCAACACTGGTATAGTTGTACATGCTAGATAGCCGCGTGGTTGTCAGCGTGCCTCCAAAATGGAAAAGCCAGCGATATCATATCTTCGGACCCAGTAATCTACCTCCTGATAGTAGTTTTTGGTTGTCTCAAGTGTTCAGCCACTTTAACCTTCGATTGTCTTTCGACATTATTCTACTGCAGCTCACCGTTAAGCTTGTTGACCGAGTGCAGGGGGACCCAATGACAATTGTCTGGAGGTTAGCCACCATAAAATTGTTTTCCTTTCTAGGTAGTGACATGGATAACGAGATCCTACAGTAGAAGAGAAATGTCGCTTATGACAACACTCTTGACTATTGCTTTAGCTAAATGGAGGTAGAGCGGTCCCGGACGTGTTGGGAATTATGCCACGCTAACTGCCTAGAGTGAGAGGAAATGGCATGGCAAGCGCCAGAATAAGAGATCAACTCCAAGTAGTTTTTCACGAACTGCAAAACCGACCTCAAGGAAGACAAATGACACTCTAACATCTGATAATTGCAGTATCTGGGTTCAAGTGATATCTGTCATGGATGATGAATATGCCTGCAACTTATATCAACGATAACTGCATTGCAGCTGATGCCGAAAACACCTTAACAGTACCATAAATTCATGAAAAAACAACTATGTAAATAGTTCTGGTACCTCTGCCCAGAATGCAGGAAGCTGCTTGAACTCCATACAAACGGTCTTAAGAAGCTAGTCTTCACTACACAAAACAAATCAGCCTTTCTAAATAAAGTATGGAAAACGTTCAAAAACAACAAGGGGAAAACCAAGAATAAAGCTACGTCTTTAGCCTCGCACACCAGCGATTACGGAGGAGAGGAAAATCTCAGTCGGGGATGAAAGTAGAAAGATAACGGTGGTTGTATACAGAAAATTAGAATTGCCAAAAGAACACCTTTTTATCACACCTTTCTTTTACTCTGTTCAGTGTTGTATTATTATTATTATTAGTCCCTTGGGTTCCTAGTGGAACATAGGGCTTCAGTAGCACGCCTCCAGTGACCTCTGTTCTCTGAGATCTTTTGAACCTGGTCCCACGACAGCCCACAAGCTCTCATTTCCTGCTCGCACGACCTCCTCCATGTCACCCTCGGACGTCCAACTCGTCGCTTCCCATGGGGATTCCACTCGAGGGCCTGACGCGTGATGTCCTCAGTCGGCCTTCTCAGTGCATGGCCAATCCATCTCCACTTCCTCCTGCATATTTGTTGCGTGATAGGTTCTTGCTTCGTTGGTTCGTTCCCAGAGTTCCTTGTTGCTTATTTTTTCTGGCCATCTGATCATCAGCAGCGAGTGTAAGCAGTTGTTGATGAATGTCTGTAGTTTATTGGAAATCCCTTTCGTGACGCGCCAAGTCTCTGAACCATACAAGAGCACTGACTTGACGTTGGTGTTGAAAATCCGTATCTTGTTCCACATGCTGAGTGCAGAAGATCTCCACACTGGTTTCAGGCCAATGAACGCCTGTCTTGCTTTTCCGATTCTGACTTTGACGTCCTCGTCCGTCCCGCCTGTAGTTGAAACAGTGCTTCCTAGATAGGTGAAGGAGGTTGCTTCCTTCAAGTTTCTCCCGTTGTCGGTGATTGGAGTTTGTTGTTGTTGGTGGTGGTGCGGTATCTTCATCACTTCTGTCTTCTCTATATTCACCTGAAGTCCCGTCTTCTCTGCCTCTTCTATCAACTTGTTAGTTTTCACCTGTAGATCTTCAAGTTTATGTGACATCAGGCACAAGTCATCGGTGGCGAAATCCAAGTCTTCTAGGTTCATTTCGCCGGTCCAGCCAGTGTATCCCCCTCTTCTCACAGCTCACCACTGTTTGCTGCATGATCCAGTCGAGTCGACAACAATCAGGAATATCATGGGTGATAGTAGGCAATCTTGTTTCACTCCTGTCTTCACTTCCACTCCAGAGGCATCACTGAGCTGAGCTTCCCATTGTGAATTACTTGGCTGGCATGTGGTGTCTTCATATAGTTGTTGAATGAGGCTGATAAAGGTTTGCGGTACTCCGTAGTATTGAAGCAGTTTCCAAATTACTTCTCGGTCGACGCTGTCAAAGGCCTTCTCGAAGTCGATGAAGTTGAGGTAGAGAGCTGATTGCCATTCTATGCTCTGTTCTATGATGATGCGAAGCGTTGCAATTTGGTCTGCACATGATTTGTACTTCCTGAAGCCTGCCTGTTCCGGTCGCAGTTTTGAATCCAGTGCGTCTTTAAGCCTCTCTAGGATGATGCGGCTTAATATTTTACTTGGGGTGGACAGGAGAGTGATTCCGCGCCAGTTCTTGCAAGCACTCAGGTCTCCCTTCTTCGGCAGTTTGACAAGGTAACCCTTCTTCCAGTCGTCAGGTACCTTCTCTTCCTTCCACACCTTCTGCAATAGTGGTGTGAGCATGTCCGCTGTTGTCTCTGCATCTGTTTTCAGTGCTTCTGGCGGTATTCCATCTGGTCCTGCTGCTTTCCCGCATTTCAGTAGCTTTATGGCGTTCAGGACTTCCATTTTCGTTGGAGGTTTAATGTTCACTTGTAATTCAGCGGCTGCAGGTGGTATTTCTGGACGAAGTGCAGGTGGTGGTCGATTCAAGAGCTTCTTGAAGTGGTCGGCCCATCGTTTCCTCTGTTTCTCTTCTTTTGTAATTAAATTTCCTTCTTCATCTTTTATTG